TTTTTATTGATTTTGGAGAGAGAGGGAGAGGGAGAGAGAGAGAGAGAGAGAGAGAGAGAGAGAGAGAGAGAGAGAGAAACGCTGATGAGGAGAGAGAATCAAGGACCGGCCGCCTCCTGCACGCCCCCTACTGGGGATCGAGCCTGCAACCCCGGGCAGGTGCCCTGGACCGGGAATCGAACCCATAACCCTTTGGTAGCCAGGACAACATTGCCACCAGCTGAGCTACCCAGCCAGGGCGACACCTGTTGAAATGAACATAGAATATTTTGACTATTTATTTTATTTTATTTCTTTTTAAATGGAGCATGGTTGAGAGTTGACCCTGTTTCAAAGGTGCAAGTGTCACTGACCATGGAATGTCCTTTCTCTGCAGACGGCCCCAAGAAGCCCACGCCGACGCCAAAGAAACCCGGTTCCGGTGAGAAGCAAATGTTCTTTGGGCGCAAAAGAGGGAGGGAAAACCATTGTGGGTCCCGCCCCCATCGGCCCCAGAGCTGGGAGAGACATAGACAAGTGCGAAGATATTGGATTCAGGGGCTGCGGATACAGTCTGGTTAATCATGTGCATTGCATGGTGACGGCCAATGATTCTCCTAAAAAGGATGGTGATGATTCTATGAGATGCTATTGGGTCATTTGGACAGGATTTCTGGCTTTCTTAGCTTTTATTGTAAAAAAACACATATTTTTACTGATTTCAGAGAGGAAGAAAGAGGGAGAGAGAGAGAAATATCAATGATGAGAGAGAATCATGGACCGGCTGCCTCCCGCACGCCCCCTACTGGGGATCGAGCCTGCAACCCGGGCAGGTGCCCTTGACCAGGATTCGAACCCGGGACCCTTGAGTCCATAGGCTGACTCTCTAGCCACTGAGCCACACCAGCTAGGGCTCTTAGTATTTTTTTCATCTGAGGGATGCATGATGGGAAAATTGATTGGGGAAGTGGGTGTTTCAATGCAGATCCTGGTCAAGAAAATTATGTAGGCATTTGGGGATTCACCATTTTCTCCAATGAAAGATTTTTCCTTTGATTTCGCCCCAACCCCTGAACTCGGGTATTAAAAACAATTTCTCCCTTTTTAGACGATGGCTTCAGTTTAGAAGATGCTGTGGGCGGTGGAGGACACAGTGAGTACCATTCTTTTTCTTCTTTTTAATTTTTTTAAAATAGATTTTTATTGTTTTCAGAGAGGAAAAGAGAGGGAGAGAGAGAGAAACATCCACGATGAGAGAGAATCATGGACTGGCTGCCTCCTGCACGCCCCCTACTGGGAATCGAGCCCGCAACCAGGGCCTGTGCCCTTCAAGCCCACAACTTGGGCATGTGCCCTTGACCGGGAATCGAACCCGGGACCTCCTGGTTCATGGGTTGATGCTCAACCACTGAGCCACACCAGCCAGGGCGTTCACAGTATTTTTCCACAAGCAAGATTTTAAATGCATTTTTCATGGTGTCTTTTATGCTTTTGTGGTCTCTCTCTCTCTCTTTCTCTCTCCGTCTCTCTGGCTGTTTTGTTCTTTTAACTTCAGAATAATTTTTTCACGGTTCCTCTCTCCTCTTGAAAAAAATGACCCTCCTCCCCCCTTTTTTTTTTTTCTGTTGAATTGTTCACAACTACAAATGGATTTGCAAAATGCTGACACATTTGCCAAATGGAACTTGTTTTCCCTGGGGATTCAATTATGTAAATTTTTTCTCATTATTATTTTTTTTCCCTTTAAATGTGTTTCTCAATGGCTTTGCCCTGTTTCTGTGTATTTCTGGGGCTACGTTTTATGTCCATCTGTTTTCTGTTCATTTCTGTAATGAAGAAATTTACTTTTATACAGGCATTTTTTTTTTAATGGACACTTAATGTTGAAACAGCCTTTTAACGTTTAATGGGTTCTCTCCGCTTGTTAGCTTTTCTAAGAAAGATGCTCAGATGATGGTGCCATGATTTTTTTAACAATATATTTTTTAAAAATATAGGGATTTCAGGGAGGAAAAAAAGAGGGAGAGAAAGAGAAACATCCAAGATGAGACAGAATCATGGACCGGCTGCCTCCTGCACGCCCCCTACTGGGAAGGTGTCAACAATGCATTTGGCCTTTTGTTTTATTTCTTTTAACCCATGAATCTGAAGGTTTGCACTGAAGGAGGTTTTTATAGAAAACTAGAGGCCCGGTGCACGAAATCCGTGCAAGGGCAGACGCTCAACGCCGGAGCTGCCCCCTGGTGGTCAGTGCGCTCTCACAGGGGGAGAAGGGCTCAGCCAGAAGCCGGGGTCACGGCTGGCGAGCACAGTGGCGGTAGCCGGAGCCTCTCCCGCCTCCTCAGCAGTCGGACATCCCTCGAGGGCTCCTGGGCTGCGAGAGGGTTCAGGCTGGGCTGAGGGACACCCCCACCTGCACCCCGAGTGCATGAATTTCAGTGCACTGGGCCTCTAGTCTAATAATATTACCACAACTGTACTTACCTAGTATAATATCACAAACGTTGTAGGAAATAAATATTTTTTTAAAAAATTAGCCTGCTATATTGGTTCCAACGTTGAGTGAACTCACCCCCAAAGTGTTGGCAAGGCCAGACAACTTCATGGGCCTTCTTTGACTCACAGATGGGGAGTTCCCCCCCCCCAGTCTACGGTTTTCCCCACCCAGGCCCCCCGGGCACGCCTGGTAAACGGTTTATCGGCAAATGCGTGCTTTGCGCACTTCTTTCCTGGAAATTTCTCCTGATCGCAATTGTGCTCTTTGGCCAACAGGTGACCCAGGAATCCCTGCTCCCCCGAGGCCCAAACCGAATCCGAACCCAAAGCAGCCAGAAACCTCAGGTAAGACCCTAAAGTGCTTCCGGTCCAATCTGTATGGTTTTTGGTTTTTGGTGTTTTTGGTTTTTTTACAGGAAACTGATTTTTTTCCCACGTCATCTGAGAAGGGGGTGAATTTAGATTTGTGTGTGCTTCCTGGTCTTCTCTGTTCAGGGAAATGCCAAATTTCCAGCAGGGGAAGACACTTTTCACAAGGATACTTTGGGTTTTATTTGCATGTCATTTGTTTCTAATTTGCATTTTTACGGATGTCAGAGAGGAAGGGAGAGGGAGAGGGAGACAGAAACATCCATGAGGAGAGAGATTCATGGATCGGCCGCCTCACGCACGCCCCCTACTGGGCATCGAGGGTGCAACCCAGGTACGTGCCCTTGAGCGGAATCGAACCCGGGACCCTTCGGTCCGCAGGCCGACACTCTATCCGTTAGGGCTTTTGTTTTGCTTAAATTTTTGGGTAGCCAGTGTCCTCACTGATTCATTGATTTACGGCTATTAATGATTCCCAGTGATTTATTATGGAATTATCTACCCACTTGTTTTTGCCTTTGAATATTCTTAACAGTATTTAAAAAAATCTTTATTGTTGAAACTATTACACGTTTAACAGTATTATTATTATTATTAGAGGAGTTTTCTTTATTCTTTTAATCTATTTTATTGTTTTCCGAGAAGAAGTGAGAGGGAAAGAGAGAGAGAAATATAAATAATAACAAGAGAATAGTGGACCGGCTGCCTCCTGCACGCCCCCTACTGGGGATGTTCCCGCAACCAAGGTACATGCCTCTCTGAAATCAATAAAAATATCTTTAAAAAAATTATACATATATATATATCTTTGCCTTCATGGAATCATCTCTAGTTGGTCAGGATAGGTTTCGTAAACCGATGGATTAGGTTTGGTGGGTGTCAGCTAGCTGGTTTTGTCTGATGAGCCGTTCCGAAATCCAGAGCCTTAATGTATGATGTCTAAGGCCTGTAGGCTTGGCCGGGGTGTGTCCGGGGTCACACCCTAACCCAGTGGACGGCCAACTCATTAGTCAACGGAGCCAAATATCCACAGGACAACGATTGAAATTTCTTTTTTTTTGGCTGTGCTCCAATAGAACTTTAATGAACTGGTCACCATACATCCTTCAATAATATTATACCACTTCCGAGTATATTTTAAAACTATTCAGCAATATACTTCCATTTCTCTCCTCTCCTAGTTGGTGCTATTGTTGTCATATGGTCATAAATTTTACTTCCACACATGATAACCTCCAAAATCCACTGCTATTATTTTTGCTTCAGGTCAATGATCTTTTTTTAGATTTTTTTAAAAAATAAGAACAAATAATTATTTTTTATTTATGCACGTATTGACAATTCCTGCTCCTTTTCATATCTTTAAGTCCATCTGCTATGGACTCAAGTCCTCTAACCACTCACCTGCCTGCCTGAAATCAATAAAAATGTCTTTAAAAAATTATGCCTCAGTTGGGATTAGAATGGCTGGAGTCCTTAGGGGCTGGTTAGACAATTGAAATTTCTTCTGAGAGCCCAATTTTTTAAACTTAAACTATATAGGCAGGTACATTGTGATTAACTGGATGAGGGTACGCCTAAGGCTTAGGAAGAGCCACACGCAAGGGGCCAGAGAGCCGCATGTGGCTCGCGAGCCGCGGTTTGCCGACCACGGTGCCTAACCTTAGCCTTACGTCAGCTCATTCTTCTGGGGCAGGCGCACCATCCCCCAAAGATTATATAAAAGTATTGCTTTGTCTCCTGTTTTGCTAACATCTTTTATTTCTATTTTTTTATTTTATTTTTATTTTTTATTTTATTTTTATTTTTTCTTTTATTTTTATTGGTTTCAGAGAGAGGAAGGGAGAAGAGAGAGAGAGAAACATCCATGATGAGAGAGAATCACGGACCGGCTGACTCCTGCACGCCCCCTACAGGTTGGGGATGGAGCCCACAATCTGGGCATGTGCCCTTGACCGCGATTCGACCCCGGGCCCCTTCAGTCCGCAGGCCGATGCTCTATCCACTGAGCAACACCAGCCAGGGCTCATCTTTTTTAAAAAAAAAATATATATTTTTGTTGATTTTAGAGAGAGGAAGAGAGAGGGAGAGAGAGAGAGAGAGAGAGAGAGATAGTAGCATCATCGATGATGAGAAAGAATCATGGACCAGCTGCCTCCTGCACACCCCCTACTGGGGATCGAACCCACAACCCGGGCAGGTGCCCTTGACCGGGAATCAGACCCGCGACCTCCTGGTTCCTGGGTCGATGCTCAACCACTGAGACATTCCATCGGGCTTCCCATTGATTTTTATTTATTTATTTTTAAAATATATTTTATTGATTTTTTTTACAGCGAGGAAGGGAGAGGGATAGGGAGTTAGAAACATCGATGAGAGAGAAACATCGATCAGCTGCCTCCTGCACATCTCCTACTGGGGATGTGCCCGCAACCCAGGCACGTGCCCTTGACCGGGAATCGAACCCGGGACCCTTGAGTCCGCAGGCCGACGCTCTACCCACTGAGCCACACTGGCCGGGGCTGTGCCATTGCATTTTTTTTGGGGGGGAAGATGTCGACCAAAAATTCATCCCTGGGTGGGGTCCGCCCAGATCTGTGTTGGTTTCTAATGGCGTTTCCTTCGGGCCAAGATATTGGGGGGACTCACCCCCCCCCCGAGAATGGCAATAAGACAGATGACACCTTTTTCTTCTCTTCCAGGGGGATTTTCAGATTCCGACCTCCTGGACGGGACCTCAGGGGGAGGTAGGAAGACTCATTCCTTTTGTGGCTTTTCTGCACCGACAGTGGCACCGGGGTTTTCAAACTTCATTCCTTCCGGAAGGTTCCCCGAGAAGCGATTTGTCTGAAAATCGAATCGTCCCCCCCGACGTTAGGAAGCGTGTGAATTAAATGAATCCGTTCCAAACCCCCAAAGTGGTCCCCTGTGTTTTAACCTTCCTTAGATACAGGACATGTCTAATGTACTGGGTTTATAATTTAATTTTAATTAATTTAATT